CACACACACACACACACACACACACACACACACACACACACACAGCTGCATGGAGAAGCCCTTTGTCTGAAATTGACAGTTACACTGTCATGTGAACTTGTTCTTAATGCTGTGTTCCCAGCTGCAGCTCCAAAGCCGGACATCACTGTACTTGGTGTCACTGACTCCGGGGTGCAGCTGAAGTGTGATGTTGGAGATGTTCATCCCCAGCCAAAGCTACAGTGGGAGGACAGCGACGGAAATGTTCTTTCTGCAGAGGACCCAGTGGTCTCAGAAAGCGGAGGCCGCTACAACGTCACCCTCTGCACTACTGTGATCCCGACCAAAACCAACTGCTTCCACTGTGTAGTTAAACAGGAGGGCTCTTACCAAGTGACTGATCGTGAAATCACTTTATCAGGTGAGAATTGCATTACTGTTTTTTCGTAAAAAGAAAATTCAATTGTTTAGTCATTCTCAGTGTTGGTTTATTGACCCTTTATTGATCTGTACACATTTACTCACATTTACTCTCACTATGGTTTTGTACGGTCTTTCAGAAAACCTGTTCAAGCATAACTACTCAAAGGTGACCTCTGAAGGGCTGCTTATTGGAATGTTTTTGGGAGCTTCCATTGTTTCTGTGGTTGTAGCTGTGCTGATGGCTACAGGGAAACTGAAGATAAGCTCTGACGAAGGTGGGTAAAATGAGCCAAAGCACAGAGGTTCTTCAAACCAAAGAGAGGTTCAATAACAATAACGACTACTTTGGAAAGCCCACATCGAAGCCTGGACCTTAAAACATATATGTTTTGAAAGGACCTGTAGAGAAGGGTTCATTGAGGATTACATTGAACTAATTTTTTTATTAATAGACTCAATAATACCTCAATTCTGGAGCTGTATTGTCTTAGATATTAATTGCTTTGTGTATGTACAGGAGGCCTTTTTCTCTAATACTCATTTCTTTAGTTTATATTTTTGTCATTGTTCATGATTATACAATGGGGGGCCATAGGCCAGAGAAGACAGTAGTTGATTAATGAAAATGCAGTATTGCAACTTCAGCAGATGCAAACAACTGTTAAAGCCTGAAGAAGGTTTTTGTATTTTAATGCTTAGTGTAAGCTAGATTTAGTCCCGACATTAAATCCAGGAAAGTATAACAATGTAAGTCTGTTTTAGATTTGACAACAGATAAATATGCTGTATCAAGATAATTATGACCAGAGGTACTTCACTTTTACTTGGGTAATAAATTAGATTCGGTACTTCAACATTTACTGGAGTATTTTTTAAAGCAAGTATCTGTACTTGTATTTTTTCACTGCAGAGAACATGGTTTTTGTCACATACACATGACACACGTCTTGTTTACCACGTCCATCAAACTGGAACCAAATCATTTCTACCCTTCCTCACACACAGGTTCCACCTCTCTGAACTACTGTAGCTAGAAATGGTACTTCAGTTTTGTTCAAGAGCTATGCAATGAAAAATATTGTTGTTAGTGGATTCAAAAAGTTAACAGGAAAAAAAGGGGGGGTGGATCAATAAAGTAAAAGCGAAAAAGTGCAGGCTCTGAAATGTAGTCAAATAAGACTTAAAAAACAAAACAAAACATCACTTTATGCTCACTCCTGTTCTGTAGCACTAGCTAAATGCTGTAAAGTACAACTTAGATTTCTTCATTTTGTAATATTGGTATAACAAAACTGCTCTGACTGTTTGTCACTGTAACACTGAAGTCTTTAGAGACTTTATTTGGCAGTAGAGTTGAGTATGATTTGTGTTGTTATAACTGTTTTAGCTGAAATTGTAAATATAAGTGTTAGTAGCTTCATGATTGTTTAAACTGGGGTGACACTGAAAGTTTGCTCAGAATCCCTGTTAATTATTTGTCTTTACTTTTAACTATTTGAGATAAAGAAATTAAATATTTTTGGAACCATTAATAATTTCTGTAAAATCTAATAGTTTGCTTTATGTAAAATGTGTTTCTGTTCTCCTTCCTGCAGGTTCTCAAAGGAATGCAAATGGTACCTTAAATGGTGAAGCAAACAGTCCACAAAGCAATGGCCAAATCTTGGAATCTAATGTTCTGATGAAGGGACAAGGGTAGATGAAATTTCCAGCTCTTTTAACATTCATGCTTGTGTGTGTGTGTGTGTGTGTGTGTGTGTGTGCGTGTTTTTTATTTTGACAGCGAATGCGCACCTGCAGACCACTTATGTGTAGACCTGGTTATTTAGCTCGTCATATTGCAGCCACAGAAATTCTTTTGTCCATGAAACCATAAAGCTGCACTTTCTTTTTGCCTCATAGTCTGATTTGTCATAACTTTTCCGTTTTGTGGTAAGCTTTTCTTTGGCTGTCACTTCTTCACCCTGACCTGTCTTATTTGGCTCAGCAGAACTAAAATATATATCCTGCTGCTTTTACACACGCACTCACATAACGCTCAGCGATTCTCTGCGCGATCAACCTCTCACATGTTTAAGCTGCAGGAGATTTCACTTGTCATGTTTGCATAGTAAGCTAACGATTGATAAGACAACGTCAGAGGAATTGGTGCGCAAATTATCATCACTCACCAATCAGTGCTGTCGCTCTCTATACACAGTGTAGAGAGCGCACGATTGCAAAGTGAAAGCAAAAAAACAAGCGCAAATTCTGGCTCACCGATGCCAATGACGATAATAATTACCCAACTACATTTCCGAAAGAATGCAAAAGCATTGACGTATATTTTTCCTTCCTATTATAGCCCGACGGGCAGGGCAGAGACAGGTTTTGGTAGCCCCACTAGAAAAATCGCTAGCCCCGGGACGTCGGGCTAGCGATTTTGCAAGCCCTGCCTGACAAATTTACCTTTAAAGCACAACCTTTGAGCTTTAAATGAGATGGTGAATAAAATATTGCATTGGAGGGCAGATTGTGTTCATGTGGCCAGATAACCAAACCAGGATTCCCAGTTCACTGTGTGATGGAATCTACCATGATTCAGATTCCACTGAATGTTCTCCATCAGATACCGCAGGATGTTACAGTAGAACCTGCACTAGCAACCTGATCCTGGAGGATACATTTGTGGTGCAATAAGGGGGAATAAGCCTGTTCATATTCTTTCTCCTCATCGGCTGCCTTCTGAAGCTAGCTTTAGAAACTAAAATCGTAAATGTCATGAGGTGATTTCATAGATGTATGTTTGACTGACTCCAGAGTCAGACTCAGGCTTAAATCAGCTGTTAAACACAAAGGAAATCCCGTGGTTGATTTAACCCAGAGAAACTCTTCAGTCTCCTCTCACTCATCATGTTTGAGAACAGACAGTTGAAAGATGTGCAAGTGTTATTGACAGAACCAGTAATAAATTCTGTATTACATAAAGGTGCTGACGTTATGTCATTTCTGTTTTATTCTTTTGTTTTTCCCCTGGCAGTTTCTACTCCGAAGACTAACGATTCGTGTAATGGGGAATCAAGCCAGCCACTTCAACAACCTTAAAAGTGCCAGATCATCTGCCTTCTGTGTGGAGAAAAGAATTGATATCCTGTGTGTGGATATCAAATCTGTGCCAGCTTTTTAGTTTACTTGCCACAGTTTGAGCTTTCAAGACATTTACAGCCAGTGAGCATCTGTGGTGAGAAAAAGTGCCTTCCTCTTTCCTTGGCTTTTACAATCAAGTTCAATTTTGCAGGACTGCACTGCTGTAGACAATGAACTTCTGAAAAGGTGCTCAGTTACACTTATTGTTTTGTTTGTTTCTGGTTTCTAAATTTGCAAAGCAAGGCACTCTTTTAATTTTTTTTAAAGTCTTACTCAGAGTCACATGTGAAATTATGCAAGAGGAAAAAAAAATGTGTTTTTAACTATACTCCATGTGCTACTGGAAAATCTTTGCTGTTATTTTGGGTGTGACTTGGATATCCACTTTAACCTCAGGAGTTTTTATATACAGGGAAAATAAACACATACATTCATAGGAGATCTTTGTGAAACAATAACATTCTTTTTGTCATACTGGTTTTGGTAAATACGTTTCTAGTATTGACAGATGGGCATATTACAATGATGCAGTTTAACATAACAATTTACTAAATCCAAAACCACTTACAGTATGTAAAAGAAGTTTCACAAAGTTTCATATTTTTAGTGTTTTATACCAGTGAATGAGCTCAAACCAAAAGGATCCAGAATGATCAAGTGACTCGTCAGTAGGGATGGGTATCGAAAACCGGTTCTTGTTGAGAACCGGTTCCCACTGTTTCAATTCCTTGGA